TCTCCTTTGTTGTCCGTGTCATGTGCTCGTGCTTTTTTCTAGCTTGGTGTCTTTCTATCTCGTCTTCCTTTGGCATTGTTTTCTTCTTTGTTTTTTACCGTTTCACTTTCTGACATTGACTATCTTTTTCGCTTTGCTTCTTCCTTTCTTGTCTTTTTCTGTGGTGCCTTTTGAACCTTTTTTTCTTTTTCTACTTGTCTTTGCGTGTTGCTGGCTCGTTATTTCTTCAAGCGGATGCCTTTGTGTTTTAGATTGTTTGTTTTTTTTAATGATGTCCAGTGACCTCTTTCAACACAATCCTGCTACACACTATATAGTGTAATTCCCCGCGCTCTTAAACGGCCTGCGACGTCCCTCCAAAATAAGCGGCCCGGGAGACCATAATTTTCCTACGCCCGACGCCCGATGGTGTGTTTCTATAATTTACAAGCACGAGCAAGAGCAAAACAAGCTTCGATCTAAACACCTGGAGCTGCGCAATCTGCTGTTTGTTGCATTTAGCAGCTGCACGGTCCCCATCAGATAGACAAAGTGCACTAGAAGGCTAGTCAAACGGGTGCTGTGGGTACCACTATGATGAATTTCATAGCTCACGCACGGATGCCGCCAGCTATTGGTAACACCTCAGCAGAAACGATGGCTTCAAGAAGACGCCAGTCTGAGGTACCAAGTGTTCAAGGCGACACCAGCAAGCCCTGGACAAGGGAACCACTCGTGGGGCTTCGCACTCATCCAGGGGTGAAGGGCTCGATGATCATGGCACCTTTAGCCTCGCATTTGGGGCCTCGCTCAGGAGTAAGGATCTATCTAAGACAATTTCTGGTCAGCTTCATTGCTTTGGGGACCGTGATGTTGCTTGGGCAATTGATGACAATTGTTGATTTTGATTTTAAAGTCAGATATCGCACTACATGTGCCCAATCCATGTTAAATACCATGTCTCAAACATCAAAACCCAGCACCCAGTAGTTCTGGAATGTCCCCAAAGCTCGTGGGTCATCTGGACATCTGCGGATCTCTTACGGACTTATACAGGTGATTTTAGATGATCTTAGATGTGTAGATCTGGGCACCTCTCGGGCACCCATCTGGGCACCTCTCGGGCACCGAAATTAGGCTCGGCTTCGTCCATCCTCTCGTCGCTCCGACGTGTGATAACCGCGCGCGGGTGCGGCTTTGGGTTGGCGTCCTCCAGCGCCGGACGCGCGGGCCGCACGTGCCTGGAGGAGGAACTGGTGGATCCGAAAGGCCAGGCGGTGCTGCGGGGCCTTCATCGAGTACTGGCGCCTGCTGGGCGTTTCATTTCAGTGGCTTGGGGCGCTGACAGGCGGAAGATGGCGGATGGGAGCGAGTGGCGAGCGTGGGTCCTAGGCGTCGTGCGTGTTGCTTTTTGGGTGGTTTTGGCCTGGTTTGGTTCCCTCTTGGCGAACAGGTGCTGAGTTGGGCTGCGTGGGGCTCGATGGGTTGAAATGAACGCTCACAAGCAAACGGTACGTATAATCCGGTCCACCTATTAAAAAACACGCGTCCCCTCCTAATAAGGAAACCCCGGTCGCCTTTCTTTTAGTAGGGGGTCCCTGAAATCGGGGTGGTCCAACATAGGGTCACCTGCGAAGGGCTTCAAAACCAAACAGTCACCCAGGAAACTTCTTATATACAATCGATTATTACACTCGTGTAAAAAATTCCAAAAACCCTCCAGATCGAAGGGTCTTTATTAGAACTAGAATAGTGATTCTTCATTAGACTAACAACTATACAAAGCTTTCGAAAGGTGATGTCGCTGTGCCATGCGGTTTTGCGTGACCTCGGTGGAAAGTGCGTTTGCGTGAGTCCGTGCCATTTGGGGAAGGAAATCCTGCTGGTGTAAACACGGCGTGTCATGGTGGATAGACAGGGTGGACAGCGGTGGGCAGTTACGGTTGTGTTTGGAACCTATATAACTATAATAACTCCTCCAAAGTCAGCCATGTTGGTAGTTTAGTAGCGGCTTAAAAGGGCGACAATTACATCTCCCGAAGACACTGCCGCTCACCCAACATGGAGCAAGTTCTTCACCCTATGAAGAAGCATACTCCGGCTCCGGCCTTGGATCAGCCACCTGGCCACTGATCTGTAATCTAAACATCTCCAGACCGATGTTACATGTCATATCATGCCATGAATCGCTGTGACATTCCAATATATTCCAATTTAGATGCATTTAGTATTGTAAATATGTCTACCGCGTGTTTACTCTAGATATTCTACCATTTGTTTACTCCAGAGATCTCAAGAGATCTTGGATCCTCTCAAGATCTAGGCATGAGTACTCATTGAGAACCCCATACGAAAAGCTCGTACGAACGGCTCGCCTCGGTGGGTCCGGAGGCGGCAAGCGCTCCTCCGCAGTGGCGGGCTCTTCGAGGTTCAGGTGATGAAGGGACGACGACCGGAGGGGGAAGGGACGTAGGAAGGGAAGGTTCGGTGAGTCCAAGGAGTCAGGTCTCATGTATCATCGAAGATGAGGATAGGTTTTTGAGTTCTATTATAGTTCTATTCGATTTGATCGGTTTTAGTATTATTTTAGTGATGTTTGAGGTTGTACTGGCTTCAGGGATGAATTTGAGAAAAGGAATGACCAGTTGGCTTGGGACAAGCAGCCTTCTTTGTCTTTGAGACTCTTGGAGAATCGATGTCGCTTCCCCCTCTGGGGCTCGGTGAATGTGCCTCGTTCGCGACTGAGAAGGAATGGTGGATTCAGCGTGAAAACAACACCCCGGCCCCATCCACAGGTGTCTTTGGGCTTGGCACGGTTTGGGATGGGCATGGATGGGCCACCCAGCAACAGTCCTCCTGTGGTGGAAGTTGCGAGGCTTGTCTTTCGGAACGTGAAGGCTTGCACTTCTTTAGCCGGCACTGGCCAGGTACACCAACTGCCTGGAGAAGCTGTGCAACGGCCCTGGGTTTATTTCTGCAGGACTGGTGATAGACTCTTTTTTGATAGAGAGGAGCAAGCAGAATGGTAGGATTGCTGGTTTATAGCTCTCACGCTCAAAGTGGTACAGCAATTACAATCCACTTCTCAATTCCTCTGGAGTCAAGGCCCTACAGCGCATTATCCACTGGCTGGGCCTTTTCTTCGGTCGTGCTTTTAATCATCGACCAACTGGTGTGAGACTTCCCTCACTAGCCTCCCTCCAACTTCACATGGAAGTGAGCACCCAAGATCCTATTGTTTAGCAAAAGGGTCTTTCCAGGGACCATGTTTCCATATACTTTATTCCATGATTCTTTGGAGGGAGCCGAGACTACCCACTGGTCTCAAAGTCTAGTCTACCCCAGCCGAAATCGTGCCGAAATCCACGAATCGGAACTTGGTCCTTCCGCCGCCCAAAACACCTCGAACTTCGCGTTGCAGGAAGTTGGCGCCGATCCCGCGGAGGACAGCGGAACGAGGGCGGAGGGCGTTGGCAGTTGGAGGCTTGAAAGTATATATCAGTTCCATGTTCCATGTTCTCGGGTCTGGTCTGGTCGGATTCTGGTCTGGTCTTAGGTTGTCGCGTTCGATCTTCAGAGGCCAAGAAGGTGCAGGTGACGACGTTGGAAGGGGCGTATTGCTCGTAGGGTCAAAGCTGGAGAATTAGCAAGAATATGCAAGAATGGTTTCATAAATGCATTCCTATACGGGTTTCTGTTCATAGGATATGGATTGTTGAAACCTCCTGGCATGACCTGAGATATGAAAAGACATGGTCAGACAGTCAAGTCTAGCCATGACACCCTGGCGTTTCACTTGGTTTCACTTGGCGGCGTTCTTTGGCTGGCCTGTCTCAATGACTTGGGAGTCTAGAGGTCCCAACGGCGATCTTGTTGGAGGAACTGATCCTGGAAACATCAAAACAGTGCAAGCTGCACTCCCTGAGAGTGTAAGGAGCTGAGAGCTATACAGCTGATTGGTTGATTGGCCACACCGGTCAATTGGTTACATCATGTTACATCTATTGCTTACAGGTTATTAATTGAGCACCAACTTCTTGAGTATGTTGACCTTTTAAGACCTTTTGGGAGAACCTCATTCTCAGTAAATCTCAAGCAAAGCATCTCAAAGGAGCAGGCGCAACGCTCCAATCTTGGAAGGTCCCTTCCCTTCACGACGGATGGTTAACTGGGTGGTCTCAGATCGTTATGTTCAACCTTGATACTTGGCAGATGAGAACAGCCCCGTGTCGTTTTCGTGGAAACCGCCAACGGTCCGTGAAGTGAAGTGGCCTCACTTTGCTTGGAAGTGGCCCCCAAAGGTAGGCTCCGTCTTCGGCTTTGGGACAGCACTCCTGGTGGTTCGATGTAACGCGAGGATGCCGCGCTTGCCTGACACCATGGTGCAGTGCATAGAGGAAGATGAAGGTCTCCAACTGGCCAGAGCACCCAGCAGGGTGGGATTGGAAGTGCGAAACTGAGTATCGGACGGGGTGCCTGGCCCAGGCAGACTAATCAGATACCATAAAGATAAAGATGTATAGACTGTTCCATGACACCCCAAAGTCCGTGAACTCAGGAGCCCACCATGCCCAGAGGGTCGCATGGACTGTGGCATGGGCTGTGGATGTGGCTGTCAAAGTGAATTTGGATCGGACAGGGAAGGGCTTCAACGATCTGGGAGTGGGAGCAGAAGGGGAAAGAGCCGTCGCCGATGTCGCTTTTATCCATGGATTTGGACCCAGAGAGGGAGCTTTGCCGCGCAAAGCCAAGGGCTTACCAGGCATTATCACCAGGTGTACGTACAGTACTTACTTCAGCAAGAAGAGGTGGAGGAGAAGGAAGAGTGACCGATGGTGATAGAGTGAAAGATCAGAGATTGTTCTCCGAGGCATTGGCCTCCGAGGCATACGGTGAGTTGAGACTATTGTATCAGTGGAAAATTAACCACCTTTTTGTAACATTGTAGAGGAAAATGGTCATCCACGAGGCCATTTGCACTTCCATGTTTAATTTAACATGTCTAAACTGTTCCATTATCTGCTTGGCTTAGCCGCGAAGCCCCATCCTGGCAAAGCAATTTTCTTACATGCCGAAACAACCCTTGCACAAATCCTCTCAGAACCCCCCAAAAAGTCGACCGTCTCACAAGGTCATTGAGCTGGGAGACGTCTGCAGATCCTCCGTGCAACTGGACCTCGCCAGTCACGAGCTGCACTTGAGCACGCCGAGCTTGGGACAGAGGAGTGCCAGCTGGCGAGCTTGGCATATCCGGCTGGGCAGGGGCCCATGTTTTAAGGAGGACATCTTAAAACTACTGGGCCTCTCAGCCCACTTGGAAATGTTCTCAAAGCTTGTCTCGGGTGCCAGTGAGCTACAGGCCTTAGCGCCCTCCTTTGCCACTCAGCTTACTTCGAGGTCCAAGAAGATCTTCCCTGCCTTCTTTTTTGATATGTCTTCTTCGTTGGAGAGGAACACCGACGCCGTGTCATTTGGCCAGACCCATGTTAGGTAGAAATCTGTGGCCACAATATCGGCTTAATTATTGGGGGCACATGTCCAGTTTGGATTGGTTTACGCGTACATCCAGGAAGACAAGAACACTGCACCCCTTGGCATTCACGCCTTTGGCCCAAATAACTGCGGCGGCGGCGGCGAGGAGCTACGCATTCCCTTGCCCCGTTGATGTGGACAGTGCCAAAGTGCGCTGGATGAAGGCACCGTGTTTGTCCAATTCGTTATGATGCAGTGTGGTCGTTTTGCCTGATGTTGTCGTGACCCTAGGAATCCGTGTTGTTTTTTTGTTGTTTGTTTTCAGCTTCGCACAGGGAAGCAATGAGGAGTTTTGTCAACCATCATTATATCAATAGCATGCTTTCAAACAACATATGTAAACAATTGTAAACATGTGTTTTCTTTTTCAAGTTGGTGAGAAAAAATAGCTTGTTATATGCCATAATGTTTCAATCAAGACAACCGTATCATGTCACCGCAGGTGGAGAGCAGCTGCTTGCAACTCCGAGTGGGTCCGCGCAACAAAAGGGACGAGGAGGTTGGATCAGTTACTGAGTTCTGTAGTGATCTGAGTTGTGACCACCCCCCCAAAGTGGATAAGTTATGATAGATCAGTTAGCAGTGTATCCTTTCAAACATTCTATTGAAACTCAGGGTCCAAATTTATATTACATAAATGTTTGTGTTTGATTTTAGCAACCAACTTTGGGGTCTGCAGTATTGCAGAAGTTTCCATTCAAAGAGGCACTCGTTTGACACCATGCAACCGAGGTTTGTTGAGAGCCACCAAAGGGGACAAAAAATTGAGTTTCGACTGTTTTTGAATATTGAGCACGTGGAGTCCCTTAACTGTTGGATAAAGATGGATCAAAACTACAGAGGCTAAGCCGGACTAAGCATCTTTAAATTGGTGGCAATTCCATACAATTCCCTAGTATTCTAGTCTAATCTTTATCAGGTTTTGTGCTCACCTCAAGAACAGACTGTGATTGACCTTAGCTGAAGGGCCAGGCCTGCCAGATCCTGCCAGGCTCTTGGAGGTTCCGAGTTCGAAGAAATGATCAGAGCAGGACCCCCCCTCTTGTTGAAAATTCACACCTGAATCCTCCTTGCTGTGGCTAGAAACATTCTCTGAGGCTGCCTAGGCTGGTGCACGAACGGAAAAAACAGGTTTTCACCAGGAGGTCGGGAACCCCTACTCTCGACTCGGACGTACTGACCGAGCTGGTCACCGGTAGCTTGATTGCTCCAGCGACCCCGCACGCTCCGCTCCATCCATCGATCCGTGTTCTTCCCGCGCCGTGAAAGTCATGGGAAGTGGCTCGGTACCAGCGCAAGTGGAAGGATGGGGGCGGGACCATTCTCAGCTCCAAGCAGGCCCAAGCAAATAGATTCTGACCAAGCTCTTGGCTCAGCCTGATCACACTGGTGGCTTTAAGGTTTCAAAAAGGATTTTGCCAGCTCTAAGCAGGCTGGTGTGTGCGCCAGTTCTTGCTGAGGAGGGTATAGATCACGGGCAGTGCGCCCTTTGCACTTCTGTGATGCTAGGTCGTTGGCTGTTGAAGAGGTGTCAACTTGTTGTACTTGTTGTTGGCTCCCTTGCGATTCATTTTTGCAAAGACAACATTCAACATCATGAAGCTCAGCTCGAGAGTTCATCCAAGTTCATCCTTTTTTGTGGGGGCGCCAAGCAAAAAAAGGGTGTGACTGTGCAGGACATGCAAGGCAGACGCTTTTGTTCCCGGAGGACGATGTCAGTCCCTATACATGTTCCACTCCATCCTCCACCCCGACGGTCAACCTGCTCGGCTCCTCCACCCCAGGTGGTGCCTCAGCTCCCAAGGACATGGCATCGGGTGCAAAGGAACTGCTAGGCGTCACTTGGGCATTGACCAAGTAGAAAGAAACAATTAAAAACACTTGTATAGATGTGTTTTGTGTTTTGTTGGGGGACCTGTCTTAAGTTAGGTGTTTTTGTGTCTCTTGGGTCTGTTTGATGCTGCAACTTCTGGCGGCCGCCGTGTGGTGTTCAAGTTCATTGGATGCAACCAGTGGAAAATCCGACTGGGCACTGGGCACCCACCCAAAACAGCAGAATAGAAGCGCCACCTGTTGAATCTGGAAGGATATTCTGGTTTCGAAACCAGAAATTCTCGGGAGGAGGTTCTGGGGTAGTGAGATCCAGCTCCTAGGGCAAGCCAGGGCGAGCGTGGTTAGTTACAGGCAGAAGTTGTCCTATATTAGCCACGGCACAGAGAAAATCAGTCCAACATCATGTCGATCCAATGCACAGTTAACATCAGAGTCCATCTAAGGAGCACTTGATCAAATGTGGAGGTGCGGACGTCGCCACCGATCTTGATGCGGTCTCCATGGATGAACCGATGGATGGTCTCCGCGGGGGTTGGGCCGGTGGGTTTCCCGTGGGATGCGGCCACCGCTTCAAAGGGATCTTTTTTCAGGGGGTGGAAGCGTAGAACATCGGAGGTTCCGATGTTCTCATCGTATGGAGAACTGCTCTGCAGTTCAGTAGCCACTTCTGGCTCCCTTACTCGCAAATGGGTGATGAATGCATGACTGGTCATGACTGGTCAGCCAAGTCTGGCTGGTGTTCATTTGGAAAGTGGAAGTCAATTTGCCAAAAACGACACCGCAATTAAAGAAAGGGTTTCTTGGCGGATCAGCCAATTTGATGTGTGTGTTGCTTATCAGGATGTTTAAGGGATTCGCGAGCTTTTGTGAGGCATCTATATACACAAAATGTTTGAGGCCAAATTCAGAAAGAATGGAGTTTGCGTGAACTCAACACATTGTGAGTGTCATATGAGCAACTGCCAAAACCTCCGATAAAGGCAGCATCACTACAGTGAAGACTAAGTAAGTAAAGTGCAGGAGACCTTCAGGAACGACAAGATTCACAGAAAAGACGATAAGGTTTTTGTTAGGTGTGTCCAAACCCTCAGGAACGATAAGGTTCACAGAAAAACGATAACGTTGGGAAGAGTGCGCACTGCACCGCATAAGAGGTTTTGACCGTCGCTCATATGAATTAAGAATGACTTTGCATCCACACCTCAGCAGCCTCGGCGGCATATCGATTCGACACCCAGGGTTGAGGCTGGTTTGAGGCAAAATTAGCAACCTCAAATGCGTTTCTGAGAATCCCTCAATAGATGCATGAACCTACTAGTATATAGCATAGTGTAGATATATAGTAATATACAGATGTGTTAAGATTCAGGTGGTAGCCACCTTGAGCAAGCTCAAGTGCTGGATTAGCCAAAGCTACTACAGCACGTTCTGTCACCACCCATACTTTTGCTGTTGCTCGAGAAAAGGTCGCAGTTCCAGATGCCTGGAAGACGAGGTGTTCTTTTCGGCGTCCCATCCAAGCATCATCATCATCGAATGCAACCTGTCAACCCAAAAAAAAGGAAGAAACACTCCTCAGAACGAGGCTCGAATGAGGCAAGAGCCACCGATGTTTGGAATCGCCGTTTTTGCGACGAGTGGACACGTTGTTTGCACGTTTCAGGTGATGAGAAGGTTTCTGTGGAGGAGGCACTCAAAGACAAGAAGGCAGGGGACATGGCCAGGGGACGCGAAGGCATTGAACAAAGTCGGCATTTCGATGTGCATGTGTGGGTTGAGTCCAAAGGAACATACAGGGCAAGTGGTTGAAAGCATGTTGTTTTGCTTGCCCCTATTTCTACACGATCGCGAGTATAAGCAACCAGAAGATGCGAGATTCGCCGCATCCATGGAGAATTTCCTCTCTTAGTTCCAGGGACCAGAAACACAAAAACTGCCGGCCACACGAGATCTGCACTTCACGAGTTGTATTCTTTCAACCGCCTGTGCTGCTTTCACGTGTCCCAGGTGTTTTTGTATTGCCCTCGGGAGGATCAAAGTGCCCCCCAAAATAGACCAATGATGCCCTGAGAAGAATAGAGGGTCGGTCGATGCGAGGTACCCGGCCAACCTACTGGTTGTTTACCCAGAAAAACATTTCACTTAAAAGGCCATCGGGCTGGTCTTGACCCGGGACATGCGGTAACTGGCTTTGTCGATACAGTTGGCGTAGTAATAGTCTCGTTTAACTTTCCCTGAATCTGAAAGGTAAAGAAAGTAAACAACATAATTTGTACAACAGAACAACAAGACCAGGTGTTTTTGATGTGTACTTGCTTTATATTTTTATACATGCTCAGATTTTTCGAACTTTTGCCTGAGTCTATATCAGTGTCGCAGTGTGCCCTCAGTCTTTAGTACACTTGTTTTTTGTAGTAGAGTAGAAATAAATTGGAAACAACATAGAAACTAAAACACAAGTGATTAAAAGCGAGACACATATAACAAACATGATGTTTCATGATGTTTCTATTTAGACAATTGAGATGTTTCTCTTATTTTCCTTTTAGGCAATACCTCTTTTCTGCGGCCAGCAAACCTTGAGAGGTCAGCTGAGTTTATCCACCACCGGAAATGTATCCGGTATCCCTGACCCACAATAGGTCCTGTTTGGATGAACCCTGTGTCAACAAACGAGAGGCTGTGGCCCTCTACTTCTCAGCTCATTGGTGCCCTCCTTGTCGCGGCTTGGCGGTCGATCGATGTCGAGTCCATTCGGCAGATGCTTTGGCTAAGAGACCCGGATTGACATCGTTGGACTTGTGTGGTGAGCAAGATTTGGGGTATAGTCACGGACGGACAGTAGGCCCTTTTGCCGGGTGCAGTAAGCAGTAAGGTTCCTGCCTACTGACCGGCGTTGACTAAATGTTGATGTAAGTTGCATCTCATCCACCAGAGGATGCGGGGAGACTCACTAAGTCTAGGAGACTCACTAAGTCTGTGAGGAGACTCGCTACCTTCTGGGCCATAGTCATTGTTTGAGTGCCTGAGATATGACAAGTGAAAAGCCTAAGCTTCGTTCCTTCCAATGAGTGTACACTCATTTTATCACCCCATTTATCGTCTGGCCCTCTTAATCCCGCTCGAAGAAACCGTGCCGGCCACCGTTGGCACTGCTCAGGTGGTTTCACTCCCAAGTTGGCCGAAGCATATACGTCCCATTTGAAGGAGACCGTCTTGAAACGAAGGGCCACCCATCCAGGGTCTTAAGTCTTTCTTCGAGCCATGTGGGCCCAGGTCTCATGGGTCCGGCCCAGGTCTCATGGGTCCGGCCCAGGTCTCATGGCTCATGGGTCCGGCCCAGGTCTCATGGGTCCGGCCCAGGTGGCCTCGTAAGTCTGCCCAGCCAATGTAGCAGATGCTTTGACAACATGCTTTGACAATACATGGATATATGGCAATGGTATTATATTGGCATTATACAGCAAAGCCCAGTTGCCCTGCATTTTCGGCGGCTCCTAAGACGAATCTCAGGTTGCTCAGTTGTGTCGGCTTGAATTGCAGTTCCCTCACTGCCTTTGCTTGAGATGACTCCCTACGATGTTTTTCAAACAGCAGCTTGCTGATGAGTATAGACTCACAAATACCGTGAATGAGACCTCTTTCAGTCCAATGATTCCGGCTGTTTTACCAAAACAGATCCTGCGCACAGGCTGGCTGGCCGGCAACACCACAGCTGGCCGTTGGCAACACGTGCTGCAAAGCCACAGCTTACAGCACTCAAAAGCCATCCTCAAATGGGTGTCACTCAACACTGGCGCCCCCAAATACCCTGTGGATGGATAACTCCTAGGATCCTGATTTGGCCGGTAACAGGACGGAACGCATTTGAGACTGGGATGAGCCTCCCTCCTTGGGAGACCACTACAATGGGGCACTGCAAGTGCAACAACCATCTCCCCCCCTCTTCAGGGAGCAACAAACATGACACCTACGGCGGAGCGCCCAGCGCCCCCCACCCTGGCGGACTGCGGACTTCTCACAGGACAAGGGCTTGGAAGTGATCTTCGTGTCCTCGGACCGCCTCTCGACCGATGTCGGACCGCGCGGCGCGACCAAAAACGGACGGCCAAGGGGATTGATGAACCTGTGTGGGCTATGGGTGTCCTTTCTTGGGGCATCATGTTCATTCATGTTCATATAAATATACATATGGGATCTCAACATAGAATCTCAGCATGGACGTTTACTGCAGATGTTTTGACTTAAGCCTACAGACAGGCACAGAAGTTACCATCTTGTGGCGGCTTGACCCCCAGCCAGACCACCACTTGCACACCGGCCAGCATCCTACTACAAAAGTTTGCCCTCTCCTTGTCCGGAGACACGCTCTGATTAGTTCCTTGTCCGGTCACTGTCTACACTCACCCCGATGTTGCCCGACTGGAGCAGCCCAACTTCCTCCCTTGACTGGTCGTTCAACACCCGCCGGTGTGGCACATCGGTTTGGAGTTCCGTTTGGCACGCGCGATGCGACGATCGAGTCGTCGAGCCAATCGAGGCGACGATGCGAGCTGGAAGGAGTACTGCGGAGAGATGTTCGGGGCGCCAAGTCCTGCGACCGAACGTGGCAGCGAGAGCGCTACGTTGAGCGGACCAGTCTGCTGGTCTGAGATGGGCGCGGAAGAATCTCTGGCGCCCCTTATCTCAGAGATGTGCCCTCATATAAGTTGCAGGGTATGCCATAAAGCACTGGAAAATCACCCCCCGTTTGTAGTGGTCCTCTAGAAGAAGGATGAAGAAGGTCATTCTATGTCATTCTGTAGAAAAAACTGGCGTGGGGGCACAACTTCAGAGGTTATATACACATTTTCTAGTGGCGAGGTATAGCTCTCTAGAAAGTACATAGCCTTGTGTTTTCAAGGATCATGTTCTAGAGCCAGCTATGCACGTTCTAGAGACTTTTTGAGCAGTTGCCCACACTGGAGTTGTATGATCCTTGTTCCTTTCATTGTCCTTTGTTTGTTTGAAGTTTGTGGATGCTTAAGTCAGTTTAAACCTGGGGGGAACAGCTGGCGAACAGAAGATAAAGACCACTTCGAGAGAACAAAACAAACCAGCCAGAAAACTCTGACTCTGAAACTGATGTATGTCGATGGCGCATTTTCTTTTCTTTTATTTGTCATTATATAGAGTCATAGAGATTAGTTTTATTGCTACAAATTCTATCTAGACATCATGTCTCTAAAATAATGTCCGGCAAGTCATCCCAGTGGGTTTCAGCATGGAGGATCATAGGCTCATATAGGCTCGAGGTTTGATTGTATCAGGCACGGGCCTCCCTGGGGGCCACCGGTTCCTGCAGCTTAGGCCATGGCTGGCTTTGCCCAGGGAGGCGAAGGCAGAGTGCCGGCCGGCTCGTGCGTGTTACGTCCGAAATGGATCGGAGGGTGAGAAGATCTATGGAGTGTTATCAAGGTTCAGACCAGGCGGTGGTGAATCCAGAAAAAGATTCTACCAATCAGTCAATCAACCAAACCATAGACAATCAGGTATTGGTATCCTCGTTATGATTTGGAACACATTGTTCCATCATTGATTTGGAGATGGTTTAGATCACCAACCTGAATCGGTTCAAACATCGCTGAAAGATCAGCTTCGGGTGCCTTCAAGGCACCCGTAGGTGGTCGCTTCATCCAATTATAATATACCTGTGATCGTTTTTCAAGTATCGACTTTTAGCAGTTCCAAAGGGGTGCCAAATGGAGGATATTGGAGATTAGAGGTGCCCATTATCTACTCACTTGGGGTCCAAACACAATCCCTTTGGACCTCCTGGTTTAATCCCAGACACTCCAAATATATACTATAGTCTATGCCTGCCGAACGCAGTCTATGCCTACGTAGTCTCCACCACCCCCCTTTGGTAGGCAAATATGGCAGTCCCATGGAGTGATTGGGAGTGGTCCACGCGAGGGCCCGGTGGCGAGCAAGTTCAAGGTCCGCGGCATTCCCACGTGCCTTTGGTATGAATTTCGCGACGGTCTCACGGAATGAAACGGAACCGGTGAACAAAATCTGCGAGATCTCTATTTAGGGGCCCAGAAGGAGGCTTCAAAGGATTCTCCTACCTTGAATTCTTCACCTGCAAGGCCTTTTGGCACCGTCCGAGATTTAATTCGTATTATTCAACCCCAACAAGAGGAGATTGTCATGTACTATTCTGTTGCTAGGATGATCATGCCCGCTGGAAACTCTTTTGGTTCGCGCCCACTTGGCAAATAACATGATGGCTCTGAGGTCTGAGGGTGTTTTTCTCGTCCACTGCACTGCCCGTCGTGAAGTTCTGAGGATGATTATCCTGGACCCCACAGACGGCAGCATCATCACAGAAGATGGTCGATCTGCAGTGATGAAGGATCCCACAGGCGGCGATGTCCCTCCTGCGAGGTCCTTTTTGTTGTTTTCACGCAAAACAGCTGTTTTCACGCGCAGCGAGCGAGCAAGCCAGCGTGCTCTCGATGGAGAATCGTGTCTGCGATGAAGGAATGTTTCGTTGGTGGGAGCGGTATGGGGTGGGGTGATGTTACTCCCAGTGAGCCCCAGGGATTGGAATTTTGCTTGTCCTGCCCTAGGGCTCCAAGTACCTCCTCAGAAGGTATTTGGACCCTCCAAACCCACCCCAACACCTTCTCAGAAGGTAGTTGGAGCCCTATAGGGCTGTCTCCCTTTCTTTGGGTCACTGGAGCGGTCGGTGGTGTATCTCCGAAGCTGTCGACGGTCGCACCGCTTGAAGCGGTCGGACCGGACCTACCTTGCGGTCGGTCGTCCGGATGGGACCAGTCCGACAGAGATGGGACCAGTCCAGGTGGATCGGGTGTGGACGCATCTCCAAACTTGATGCATTGTTTCGGGCTTTGCTTTTGGGGCGAATCGTTGGAGTCTTTTGGCATGATGTGGCATGCGCTACAAAACAAGGCGACTCAGAGGAATTGTCGAGGAGCTCAAATTGCTGAATATGGGGGTGTACAAATTCCATCCAATTCCAGTGTAATATTGCAGCTCCATTCAGTGTCTCGAATTGATCCTTTGTGAACCCTCGGCGACATGCCGGCTCTTTCACGACCAGCCGCTGTTCCACACGCGATGCGAGCCGGATCGTAACCGAGCATCGTTTCGGGGTGTTCAGCCGAAACACCGGAACTTCTTCGCGTTTGCCGGGTGTTTGGGTCGCCGCGTCTGCCAGGCGAGAAGTTTCCATGGAAGCCACCCACCTTCAAGGAGCTGGGCTGAGCTGGGGAGAGCTGGGGATGAGGAAACCGGATGAGGCTGGCCGGTTTGAGGTGTTTTTTGTTTGATGTTTGGCGTGTTTGGGTTCCGATACTTGGACTGGTTGTAGGGTGTGGATAGGGATTGAAGATGTGAAGAGCCAAAAAATGTCAAAAAACAATTGTCTAATGTGTTTCTTATTAGGTCGATTTCCACAGTGGGCGCTGGGGGGCCGCGAAAAGGCTTCAACAATTTGCTGGGAGAGCTGGGCTACTTCTTCATCAGGCTTCTTCATTGGCAGGTTCCCAGGTGGCACAATCCGTAGAATGCAAACCGCCGGTGTTCCGTGTGTTGATCGAAGACTGGACACGGCTGAAGGCTGGGGATTGTGTAAGGCATGAAAAAAGTCGCACCACATCACATGTGTCTTCTTTTGGTTGTGGGCACGCTTTTGTTTTGCTGCCACTGGGTTTGAGAGATTGGTGAGGTGACCAGTCAAGCGCTTGGGTGTCGGCATGTTTAGCATCAACATGTGTGCGGTTTAGTCGTTGATGTTGAGAAAAGGATCCTCCAGGGGCCCTTGTCACTGTGATTGCCTGGGCACATGAACATGGACCAGTATAGACCCATCATGGAGCAGTGTCCTTTCGTCTCGCTTGTATCAAATTCAACATCATGCATGCACGTTCTCTCAAGATGAGTTTAAAAAGAATCACATGTCACCAGTAATGTCACCATATTTCACCAATGCAACTTCACTTGTGTCCCCCGATCCCTGCCCATCCCTTCCGGAGAAGTCGGTGCCTCCATCGGTGCCTCCATCACGTTCGTGCGTTCGCGCCTCCATCGCACCGCCGGCTGCTCTGAACGGTGCGTCCGCAGGAAGTGATGGGCAAAGGCGAGTTCTTGAAGGGCGAAGGAACCGTAGGTCCGGAAGCCATTGCGACTCGGAGTGTGTTGGGGTATGTTGGGCTAGTCCGTCCCAGGGATGGAGTCCAAGGGGCCCAAGGGTTTGGGGGTCCGGTTCGAAAAGACTGGACTGGGCGTTTGGCTTCGGGTGGCAGAAGCTTCTGCTGGAAGCACTGAAGTGTTTTTGAGGCGGCGATTGCGCACGAAGAGGTAGATGGAACATGGAGGCAACAGCAGTTTGCATACAGCTCCCAAGACCTAAGTCTGGAAGATTCTGGCTGGTGGTTGTGCCCCTTTTAGATTTGCTGGGTTTGTTATGTTTGTATGGATGTAATATGGAGTGTCCTGCACATTTGCAAAAGTATTGTTGAGGCTGCGGTCGACCATGGGAGGATTGCAAGGAAGCAACAGGTGTTGTTTTGACAAATGGAACATCTGGAGCCACCCATCTACCAAGCATCCCAACACATGGTCCCAGCTGGCTAGGGAAACCCTGACTGCACCATTCACCATCAATGTCCCATCAGTTCCCTTGTTTTTCAGGAATGTGACCTCTCTGGAAAACACTGGTGGTTTCAGATAGGGGTGTGTGCTAGCAGCACATGTCCTTTTCCCTGGATTCTTTGGATGGCACTTCAATACAACCTTCCCTGGTATGATTAATGACAACGGCTCACGTTCAATGCAGTTGTTCTATGTTTTTTCATGTGGGTTGACACCACCCCTCAACCACTCCTTGACCTGCTTTCACAAGCCTCAGAAACGCTTCGATGTCGTCGCTTCCATGTTCGGATTCACCTCTATCCACCTGGAGGGTCTGACCTGTTCGGCACCCTGTCTGGTCTCTTCACTTGTTCCCAACTCCGTCCGGTGTCTTCGCACCGAGGCAGGGAAGCATTTGGGCCTTTACTTCTCGGCTCATTGGTGCCCCCCCTGCCGGGCCTTTACGCCTCAGCTGGCCAAGTGGTATGCCGGAGTCAAGTGCCTTGGCCCCGGAGTCACGGGGTGTTCCACGGCGTGTTCCGCGGAGATCTCCGAGGTCTCGGAAGCGAGCGAGAGATGAAGTGAAGTGCAATTGAGCCGAGTTCGGATCGCAGGTCGCAGTTCGCAGGTGGCAAGGCGACGAACGAAGAACGGAGCGAGCGAGAAAGGACGCGAACCGTTGGGGGCGCTGATGGCCTTACTACGAACGTAACAAGAAGCTGCTAGTAACAAGGGCATCGCTACGAACGGAGCAAGGGGTCCTGACTCGGTCCAGACTGGGTCTAGCGCCCGACAGAGTGTGGAAGGTTCTTTTTTTTGGTGGGGGTGAGTTTTGCTCCAAACTGGAGTGGATAACTATTTGACTGGATGTTCAATCGTATGGACCCCAAACTGATAGGATATTTTTTTCTGGGCAAAGGATGCCTTGTAATGATATATATATATATACTCTCTTTGAAGCGCTTGACCTCACGAACTAGAGTCGAAGAGAGCCGCTCTCAAATGTTATAAACACGCGGTGACACATGCAAACACCCATTCAAACCCATATTGAGGGGATGCGACAATAGAGCTCTGACTTGTGGGGTGATGTTGTTAAATTCAGGATTGCATACAAGAAACATTATCTCCTACAATCCCGCTTAAAATGCGGGTTAAAAGCATCCATAGTCCTGTCGCATGCAGTTGGAGAGCATCATCTCAACCCTTTGTGTTTCATCAGGAAAGAGCTGGGAGACAAGTTTGAGATCGTCTTCTGCAGTGGAGATCGTGATGATGAAAGTCTCAAGGAGTATTACAAGCACATGAAAGACGAGGGCGGACCTTTGGTGGCATGGGAGAAAATTGGGCGAATTGGGCGGACACCTCGGTTCCACGCCTTCATCCGTGATCGAAGACGGAAGAACTGAGTGGGAGGACCCTGCGCCTGGTCCGGATTTGGGGATGGAACAAACGAGGGACGTTCTGGGACGTGACCCATGAAACGACCATACGTCCCAGACGTGGTTTTCAGCGTTGATGTGTGACGAGTCGCGCCGATCGATCGCATCACCGAAAGGGCGGATCTATGGGAACGAATACGAAGAGGTCCATGTTGGTACAGAACAATTGGTTGGCTGGGACAGAACGATTCTTTGTACATGTATCATTCCAATCAGAAGGTACTTTCAGTCTCTTCTTGATTCCTTTTGCTTAGGCCTTGCCAACCATAGCTAACTTTGCTATTAGAGTGAATATGTTTTTGCCCAGTGCCGAGCGCCGTTCTTGCGTGTTCTTGTCACTGAACAACGAGAAAAATTTCATGGATGCTGTGGCAGAACCTTTCTCCAGAAGCTTGCAATGTCAAGAAGTGCAGCCAAGACATGTAGCTATCAACCTTGATGAGACCGTCCGACGCGGAAGTTCGCCGCGCCAAAGAGAGTCACGCACTGTCTGTTTGTTTGCAAGGATTTTTGGGACCTTTCCTGTTTGGCTGAGACAAGCAGCTTCAGCATCATACTTGTGAAAAGGGGGATGGATGACTTCATGTCTGCATACAGGGATCTAGAGGGATGCATATAACAAGGTTCTTTTTTTACCTCGACAGCCCTTTGACCCCTAGCAGATATCCCATGATGTCCCAACCCGTTGGGTGGGCTCATTTGGAGTGGGCTCCCCCTTTTGCATCCTTTTGCAAGGAGACTGGTGAAGGATAATACGCATCAAAAGCCCCTTCGTGTTGGATCAGAAGAGGCTACAAAAGACAGATAAGAATGCGGGTTCCGCGGTACTTTTTCTCCAAAGAGTTCTTGAACCTAGTTTAATATCAGATATACCGTGGTTGGGTTGGGGGTGTCACCGGGGTGTCCCTGTTTGATCAGGAGACTGGTGTGCACTCCCCTTCGATCGAAAAGATGATCTCGACGGGATCTACAAGATCGAAGGCATCCCAACCTTCCTGCCTCCCGGCAGGGCAGAGGACCAGTGGAAAGCAGACTCCTAAGCGCAGGATCTGGAAACAGGGTGAGAGTTATGGTATATGTTATGGCCTAGAAATACCAGGGTATAAGTGTTCGTTTCATGCAAGTTTCGACACAAAGAGCGTGGACTAGGGCGTAGGGAGAGCGTTAAGCAGCTGGCAGTAATTGGTTCCGCCAGCTGCTTCAATCAGTGCATCACAAGTCGTTCACTGTATGATGATACAGGTTTTCGGTATCTCCAACGATCGGAATGTCACCTACGTTCTCTACGAGTATGGTCTGATGTGTCTCCCATTGTCTCCCCATTTTGAGGCGTGCACATACACACATACATCCTGCTAAAGACCTGGAGATCTTGAACTTTGGAACTTAGATGCTGGAGCCTCATGACTCATGTGACCTTTCATGATTCATGTGACCTTTGTTCAGAGTCGCAGATCGCATAGTGGTGTTTACATATGCCGGGCCATGTTTCACAAGAGTTGTGGAACTTCCAACTTGCGCATGCTTTCAACGGGATGTGTGTTTCTTCCTTGCCGTATTTGGAGTTGTGACATGGCTCTAATTCAGAAGACATAAGACCCGTAGAGTCGACCCATGGGAGTTGAACTGTCTACTGATGGTAGGTAAAGCAAGGTCTCCTGGGAGTAAACCACAGGCATGCAGCACACAGCATCATCATCAAGCCAGCTGGGAGGTGGTCAAAATAGATGGTGCAACCATCGAACACATCCCATTTGTTTTGGAGGTGAAGAACGAACGATCTAGTCAACTTGCCATCGCTGGCGGCAATCTGCTGCATGAGGATGAAAGCAATCTTCAAAACATCATAAATAGTTACATATACTGTATATAAATATTTGTAACATCGTAGCATGGCGTAATAATAGGCATTTCATTGGATAGATTTTACATATTGAAAGTATTTGACCCGTCTCAACCGTTTTCAGCCCTGAAAACCTTGCTTCCAAGCTGCACCCTCACCACTCTGGACTGACCGACGTCACAAATGAATTCACCGACCGAAACTCTTATCTCTTTGTCTCATCATGTTCAGGATCCTGTGTGGTCCTTTCTTTCGGGGGGCGAGCATCGCTTTTCGATCTCTGACCCCAAAACCTCAGTCTTTCGTTGAGACCTGAGAATGCTTGGAGACCTCGACCGGTACGAGAGACCGTCTCCGCTGCTCCGGTGCTGTCTATCCGGCCGTCTCCGGTCTATCCACGGGCGGGCGGGGCGATTCTGTCGAGGATTGTGGATCAGGAAGGCAACATCGTGACGAAAGCGGGGAGGTCCCTGGTGGGCCGAAATGCGCCGGCCAGTGACCTGGGCAGCAGCTCACCCAGCTCGTGACCTGGGAGACTGCCGATACTAACCTGGTTTTCCGTGTTATATAAGGGCCTGCGTAGAGCGAAGGGTTCACGTTCTTTAAGAGTTTGGTTGAGGGATGTGTTGGGGGGACTGGAGCTTCCTACTTTTTCGAGGGTGGTGGTGGTTTTGGTGGTGTTGAAAAAAGCGAACGGTTCGTGACCGTTGGTTCAGATTTCATGATGAATATCTGCGTCCGATGTAGTTCGCCACAGTTGAGCAAGACCACCATGTGTAAGAGGGGAACTTTGGCAACCCCTAGAATGGAATCTGGCAGTTGGCTTGTATTTCTATTTGTCGATGAGCTCGTGAGTTCGTTTAGGGCTCTCATAAGTGATATAACTGCTAAGAGTACTGCTAAGTTATACATAGTTGGTTCATGTGCTTGGCTTGGCCGCCCTTAAAGAGTATTTCAATCCCCAGCCTACGCTTCCTACTTGTTTGGCAATCAAACCTTCACATAATATATCATCCCGTGATCTACATGGACCGTTCTTCATCTGAAATCATTTATTGTAGTCATGCAGCATGCAATCTTACGAGCAAGCAACCCCTAAAATGACAACAAATGGCCTTGCTTGGTCATTGCGCAAACTACTCCGTTTGGCAGATGCCTAGAGTCTAGAGTGCCTTGACGTATTTTCTAGACTCCAGTGAAGACCAATTGACAGTCGTCTTCAATCAAGCAATTGAAACCCAACATTGATGGGCATTGAAAGTCGAGTCTATGGAACTCTATCCCAGGACCTTCCAAAGAGGGTTGCCGAACTTTTGGCTCTTCTAAAGGCATGACAACTCATGGCAGTCCCTTCAAGATTGTAGGCATACAGACCTCTGCATGGGTGCAAGAGATTGCAAGAGCTACTGCAGCTGCGCATCTCCCTTTCCTTCCATACCATTGGGAGCAGCAGAGCAGCGCCTTAAAAAGGCCCACACACTTCACGACGCGTCGCTTTTTCAGCGTCGCTTTCCGGCTCAACGAGCTGAGGCGAGTTCCCTTGGGCGCCACCAGTCATCCAAGAGTTGGACAATCCTGATGAGCAGGCGCTCGCGCTCGTGCTCGCTCCTGGCAGCGGGGCAGGGGGGGTTGGCGCGGAGGAAGCACAACCCATGTCGCGCTGGCACCCGATGGCGGTTGCTGGATCGAGGAGGTGCAACATCTTTTTGGGGCGAGGAGCCAGGTTTGGCCCCGGTCTGGCGGGTTCAGTGGCTGGTTGAAGACTCAGGAAGTCCACCATGGCTCGCTCCAAGGTCTGGAGTGGAAGGACATCGGACCGTTGAAGGATTCCGTATCGTTCTGTGGTCACAATGGGTGTGAGGTTCAGTGAATGTTCGTGTGTAGATGGAATAGCGGAGAACTTATGAGAATTCTATTCATTTGATATGTTGGCTGAGGCTTCACATGAGCCAGATCTGTCTTCTTCCAAGGCAAAGAAAGGCCACAGTTTGGTTAAGGTGTCATTGCGTGATTGGCCACACCGAGTGTCACCGTGTTTGGAGTGGCCACATCGTGTGCAGGGCATCAATGATAAGCCCACTCTTTGCCTCATGCTCGAGAGTTCCTTGGATTGCAGTGGACCTGAGTCACCATGGTCACACGTGATAGGCACCCACATCAAGAGGGATAGGCATATATGACGTAGCTGTTTCGATGTTGGTTGAACGTGCTAAAGCGGCGGCTGATCCGATTGTTGATCACATCTATGTTGGTCTTTAAAGATGACATGCAGATACATCCCAATACCAAGTCTTGAAGGATGTAGTTATATGTGTTTAATTTGGATACCATCTCGTTGCAGGCCCTACATTCGTGGCATACGAACACTTTCTGAGCCAAATCCCAGACTCTCAGACTGTTCTTACTACCCCTTTGATAAGGCTGTGGAGTCGAACCCCCAACCTCCCCACACCTTGTACAGCCAACCATGAACAGAATGCTCAAATCTGGCATGCTCGCCTTTCGGGATTTCAATCATGCCTGGGGTGCCCCAGCCACAGCCCAACAGAGGTACGAAGCGCAAGCATGTGGCAGTCTGATGTTAGAAAGTGATGGACAAATCGGTAAACCCTAATTAAATGTACTATAATAATAGTTCATCAATTATCCGCAATACTTATGGACTATGGACATCATGGAAACATCGACATGACAAGATCCAAGAGTGCGGCAAGGGGCGGAGAATCCGCTTATCATTGGATGGCTGCCATTGCTTTCAGTCCAAAGTTGCACCTCAAAATCACAGACATGCTATACCATGCTATACCTACTCTACGTATTAGGCAACCGGCCGGAAGCTGCGTTTTTGAGGACTAAGGTCCTAGAGCTAGAAACCCAGACTCCTTCATTCTCTAAATTCAACGATTCACCCAAAAACCTGTCAGAGCAGCACCTAGTCCCCTCTTTTTGCAACCAAAGAGAGAGGACTCCACCGCAGTGGCAGCTGGGGCCCCCACGGCCCAAACCCCGCCCGTGCGCCCAGGTGTTCCCATTGCCAATCAGTCCGACATCCTTGCCAAGGTCACCCCCATCGCAGAGAAGTGGGCGAAGACCGGGGCCTCTCGGTCTCGACCGAGTCTTCGCGTCGACGGACATCGGAGCGGCTGGGTGGAGACGGTTTCGCTGCAGAGAGCTACACGGAGTGTGGCTTCGGGGCTTCGTTTTGGCGTTGGAGAGTGGCCCTTCAAAACAAGGTGTGCAGCAGAATAAGAGATAAATATATAAGCTTGTCAGCTTGTCTTTGTTTGGCGGCTCCAGTTTCCAACCTATAAGCAGTTCATACCCATGTTACCCATGTCGCGATCCTGTCGCCGTTTTGGGATGCCTGACCCAAAGAACCCAGTCAATTAGTACCAAAATTATCCAAATCTTGGGTTCGCAAACCAAAAGCCTCGAGCACCTTCTGATAACCATATCCTTTTTGAACCACTTCCAGAAATTCTATGGCTCGTCACCAGTGGTCATTGGATCCTAAATGCGTACAGTATCCAATGTGTATCATTCAATGCATGTGTCTTTCTTTTCTTCCGGAACTGGAGTGACGCAGCTTCGCTCCAGTGGTCGGTGGGGACAGTCAGCCAGTCTGCGAAGCGCTCCACACCCCAAGGCCATCCAGTTCCTGGTGGCCAGACAGCCCTCTTCGGTGACCCGGCGATCGGTGACTGGTGTCCACCCGTTCAAACCGCGCTTCGTGAGAGCGCGGTTTGGGTTTGGGTGTGCGTTTCGTATGCGTTTCGTTTGGGTGTGCATAATATGTGTTGAGTCTGAGTGAGCAGATATGAGATGAGCAGATCATATATATGTTTCATTATGTTTCCATTTTCAAATCATTTTCAATCTGTTTTAGATGTTCGCATCTCATCCCGTGAACAAGCACTTCACTCCTGCACAAAAAATGCCGGACAAACAAATCGAACGAATCGAACGTTGGCCAACACGGATCAGGCCAGGACTTCTAGACTTCTCAGACGCACGATACGTCCAAAGAGGAAGACAACATATGAAGACCATGAGGTTGCATTGAGGTGAAGGTTCCAACGAGAAAGGCGAGCGGAGCTGTGGAACCCACAGCTGCCCGGTTTCGACCCTGAAGCGGCTACAAAAGTGCTAGTGGTGATGGGCAACAGGCCTGTGCTTGGAAGACTTTATGCATGAGATCAAAGATTGGCCGCGCCCTGAATCTCGAACAGGGGTCTCCACCTCCGGACCCAGACTGCACCCACCTCGCCGCTCCGCACCCGTTTCTGTGTCCAGCTCCGCACGCGCCCATCTGCGCGAGGCCTCGGCCACGATCCGGGCGGTGTGCGGCTTGGAGTCCGTCGAGACAGTGTCCAAGACCGACCGGAGCGAAGTCTCCAGCGCTCGAGGCGGGAGTCTCCGGGCTCGGTTTGGAGCGGAGGTGGGTGGAGGGCGGTGGGGAGGGTGGAGTGTGGGCGGTCGGTGAAGTAGACTGGCCGGCCGTAAAGAGGCATCCCTTCTGGAGGGGTTCGGTGGAAGGGAGGGCTGGTTTTGGGTTGGTTTGGAGGTGGGGGGTTGAGATTCAGATGCCAATGGTGTTCGGAATAGGCGCATTGCGTCCGGATGGGTTCGTGTGGGAGAAAAGCTTGACATTGAGGAGATTGTGGGAGGTGTTTGTGAAAGAAAGTGACAGAGAAGAGTCGTGTTGGATAGTATTGGATAGTCATTGAGCAGGGTGGCAGAGGCTGAAAGGTTTGTTGGTGGGGTCAGTGTTTTGTTTCGGGGGTGAGTAAGGTGTAGAGATGATGAGTGGAACTTTGACTCAAGTAAAAGTATGCATACGTATTCACACATAGTTCTTTTCAGACTGCATCACACGAGCTCGCTGCATCGCATTGAGGTTCTCATTGGAGAAATGAAGACTGCTTTGGTGTGCTACCTCATACAGGTTTGCTACATCAATACCGATACCCCTATACCGGATGTAGATTCCAGACAAATACGTGCCACTTGGGGTATGGCTTACCGTCCTGTGCTCAATCAATGAGCATGCGTTGGATTCCCACAGGGCGGCATCATAGTCGGGGCCTGTGGCACTCATGACTGACGCTATCCAGTTTGAAGTCTTCTCCCTGAGAGATCTGACTTGTGACCGATCCTGGTACAAACAGCGATCTCGCTTTGTTGACACCCTGAACTCTTAGTGCCTTGCCTTAGCATGTCGGCAAAAAAGGGGCATGACACTTATGACACTCATGTCGGGGGCCCTGCAGCGCGATCAGGAGCACCAAAGGCGGTTCGAACCTTGTCTGTGGACACGCCCTGGATCATTTTGCTGGACTGCCCTGATGGAGGCCACTGTCAGACTGTCAAACACCCACGCGCAGCGGTTCCAACAGGGTCGGCGAAAGTGGTGGTACGGGCAGGCAAGGGCGAAGGTGCATGTGTCAGGGCGTTTTGGGCTTTACACTGCAGTGGTTTGCCATCAGCGTGTTACAACAGGATCGGATAGTTCTGATGTGTTGAACCGTCAGATCCGTCGTCGTGCTTAGCGGCAGCGTTGTTGCAATCGGTGTAATGCTTGATACTTGAAAGATCTTGAAAGTCACCTGCACATGTTTAGGCAATCAATCCCACAAGGGTTTGCCCAGCGAATCTATAAGCTCTTGGAGGCACGTTGATCACCGCACGGATTATGACACTTAGTACCTTTGAACGCCTAAAGAGGTGACACTTACTGGCGATGACAAAACTTGGTGAAGGCATCGCTGCCATCCAACTCACCAAACGAAATGCCTTCATTACTCACTTCATTGGCTTCTTCCCATCTGGCATAGGTGGCTCACCCGTGGCCTGGCCCAGGCGGATATTACACCGGCAAGATGGCCAAGGAGATGGACGGAAGTGGCGTTGGGTCGGCTCAGTATGTCTCCGTAGGGGGGAGGCTGTGGCGATCACCACGAGAACCGTGATCTACGGTGGTGGCTTTTGGGACCGTTTTTGGCGGGGTGAAAGGAAGAGAGGTGAAGAGAAGACCATGGACCTGGAAGGTTGGAGGGTTGGACGGTTGAGGAACAGCATTCGGATCGGAACCCGTATGCGGCTTGCCGTATGATTTTTCCTTTTTTGGGGGGGGGGAAGGGGGCAGGGCGTGGCGAAACATGGCCAAGTGTGCAGTTTGGTTTGAATGATGATTAATTAAAGAAGAAAACGATCTCGATCAGGAAGTTAGCTCCTCCGTCCAAAGCAGGTAGAGGATCGTTCTTTGCAGTTGTTTGCAATCGACTCGAAACGCCTTTCGTGCACCTTGGACCGGTTGTTTTTCCTGATACCTCACAGGTTCGTGTTGTTACTTGGAAGGGTGTATGTGCATGGGGTCGGAGGGGACACTTCTTATCTTGTTTCATCCATGCATGGGATGCCCATTTGCCTGGTAATGAGGAAGAGTCTTGCATCACTTTCGGAAGACTAATTATGATATTGTTGTCATAATATAATATGTTATGATAACTTAAAGCTTGGTACCGGTACATCTGATTCAAAAAAATCAAGCTTGCGTCCTGTGCCCCAGTCCTGTGCTTAGCCCTCTCACATCACCACTATGTGGATACCTGGCCGGCTACGCCACAGCAGCTTAGCTCAGCTGAGGTGGAGGCAATGCTGGAGGGTTGGAAGGGAAAGACCCTTGAGCGGAAGCAGCTGAAATGAGGGGAGTGAATCCTGAACTTGCTCAGCGCAGACGTAGACGTAGACGTTTACCCGCTGAGTGAGAACTGCGTGCGCGCCTGTATCCGTGGGCTGACAGGGCAACTTAAAAGGAAGTGTGATTTGATTTTATTTGGGATTAAGCCTGTAGAACTGTAGAAGAAGTAAGGAAGATATGGCTCAGGATTGGATCATGATTGATTGAACGTGTGGTGTAGATCATTGAGATCAGCCAACCAGCTGCAGATGGTGTTTGAGCCAACCGCTTCAAACAACGTCGAATTGACGACAACCAGGGGTGCTCGCGTGCTCAACCCGCTACAACAACTTGGGTTTGTCCCATTACCTGTAACCATTGGGAACCATCAGTAAACAACTATCACTACTTTAATTAGATAAAGTCCTTTACTAAAAATAGTCATCCACTGTTGCCCAAGTGATATCCTTGGTAGACTGTAATTAGCGTCATTATCCTCTGATTTTGGTGGCAAAAAAACTGTAATTACCGTATGATTATATAGCATCATGTAGTTATGATTCCAGGTGAACGTCAACATGTGAGTATCAACATGTAGATGCTCGGTGTGTGTTCGGAAGATTCCAGATGTCTTTTGACAATCTCGCCACAGACACAGAAAATGACACCGCAGTGCGCGGACATTCTATGATATTTTTACGTACATCAACAAGGACTCCTTGTACATCCAAACTTTATCCATTCAAACCTGTTTGTGTTTTTGCCAGATGTGTGACACCTTGCATCCACAGTCAGTCCGCGGCGGGCGGAACATGCCAATCTCGGTCCTTGATGGCCCCTGATGGCGTCACTATCGTGCAGGAGACCTCCTGCAGCACCGGGCACATGCCATAGACATTGCTCCAGACACGGCGTCACGGTTTTTTTTCTTGCGTTGCACACCGGTGCTGCGGACGGTCATGGACGGTCATGGATGGTCCATCAACGTTGGAAGGAACGGTGAAAATCACACCGATGGTCCTTCTACGTCGCTTCGCAATTCTGAAGCCACCAGAGATCTGATTCAGCGCAGGATACTCAGGCCACCGTAAAGGGATACAGGAGAACAGAGAGATCGCTCCAATGGACTCTGAGTCTTTGATGGTGTCAGGTTACTTGGCATGTCAACCTCTATATAAATGGTATAAATGATTTTATGTGAGATCCTGAATCAATGATGTCACATATGGCAAAAGGAAAAGCTCAACGAGATGGAATCATTGTCTGGGGGCTGTATGACTTTGTCAAGAATACAAATTCTGCTGTAAGCAAAACAAATCCAAATTATAGATAAATAAAAATAAATATCTAAAGGTCCGTGTAAGGGGTTCAAATTATACAAAATGCCGCTTTAGATGATGTCCAAACCATCCGTAAAAGATCCGCGATGAGGTTTACGAAAAGGCCTTTTTTGCAACCGATTTATCGAAGATATTTTATATTTATATTTTATGTTTGCCGACCGACATATAAAATGGGTACTGTTTTCGTGATGTTTCGTTTTTTTATATTTCGTATTATCCGATAATTTTTCCAATTTCTAGAGAGATGGTGGAAACCGATTTCACCGTGGAAAATAGGTTTAAATTGAATTTTGATTAGGTATAAATAAAAATAGGGAGATTTCTTTAAGATCTTTTTGGAAGCAAAGCAAATTAAAAGTTATTGGTTGTATATTTTTATATTAAATTGTGGATTAAAATGATAAATTTATAGGAAATCCTATATTTTAAGGATCTCTTTCTTGTTAGACGCCATTGAGTCTTTAAGTTAGGCCTAATTTATGAATTTAATTTATCTTTGATAATGGTGGCCTTCTGCTCGAGTTGCTTTTTGTAGCTTCAAAAAAAAAGGCCTTGGCATTATTGGCAATTTCGAAACAACTTCGTGCAAACTAACATTAATAGATTATACACGATACTTTTTGCAAGCATCATGGACATCGCATAATATTGTGGGCAAATTGGAGACAGCTTCTTGCATAGAAGCATTATGAAAAGAAAGAAAATTCTTTGCAAGCACGAATTGAATTTTCTCAAAATTGATGGTGTCTTAATTAGCTCGATATTTAATTCTTTACTAAGCAATCCTGCTATTATAGCCATTTTGCATTTTGCCACTTATGTGTGGCCCAGCAGAGGTGCAACTGCTTCCGGGGGTCACAATCTTGAAATTATACATAGCCGAAATAATGCTAGGCACGGTATATATTCGCGATATCAATTTTGTTTTCTAAAATTCCCAAAGTAATGCAAATATTTTCGGTTCTTATGGTGTGGAATATCGGAGTTGTTTCTACCGATCGTTTGCATTGTTTGTTGTTTGCCTTCGTGATTTTTGCCGTGGATTTGTCCACGAGTTTTGCGGCCACCCTGGAAGGCGAAGCTAAAGCCTAGGAAGATTGTTACGTTGCCTTCGCAGGAGGGTCTAGCTGGAAACATACGATCCAATAGCTTTCAAATATATGCTAAAATGTAATAATTTATATAATATATTTATACATTATATTCAGGAATATGATTTCGGAATAATGCCTTAGATTTCTCGAACAAGGGACCGAGTTTAGCGTAATTCTAAATGGATTTGGATTGGATTCTGAATGGATTTGTGTTGGTTTGGAATGATGTCTGGATGTCTTGTTATCCCTGTTGCCATACTTGCCCTTGGCTGGCTGCAGGCAACTTAGCGGGTCGCCAACTGATACTAGACTTGTCTCGGACTCAAACGAAGTCCTATGCTGCGATGAAATTTTACTACATTTCATAAGGTTTCGAGTTGCTTATTTAGGCTTGGAATAAAATAGAATAAGTACCCATTGATTAAATATTGAAATAATTTACGATTTTGATATTGGTTCTGCCATAGGCACCGGGCAAGCGGGTGGGTCGCCAACTCACACCGGATCTATTTGGGGATCAGAAGAAATCCTCTGCTAAGACGAAGGCTTGCTATTTAATGGAGGTTCAATTTTAGAATTTTCATGTAAATTTATGCATTACAAATAAATATAAGTAATTCGTAGATATATATATATATATATCCCAACATATTAAATCGATATAAATAATATATCAATATCATTCCAACTCATTGAATATATTAAATGTAATTTACAGAATTTCAGAGCCTTTGGCTCCCATTTTTGCATTGCTCAGATTCCGATTAATCCGGATCCTTTGACTCCATCGCTCAGCTCTCAGGAAGCGACAACTTGGTTGAAACGTGAATGTCACGCAACAATTCGATTGCAATTCCTGAAGTAGTAATCCGGCAGGCTACAATCACTCGGACGTGGATCCATTGATCAATCTAAACGATCAATTGCAGTGGGTGGCTGTCCGTATGGTCTGGCAATTTTAGCGCAACACTCTGCGATCTATGATTCTAACCTGTGTCCTATTCGCCATCCGCCACAAAAAATTGCTGCAAATAACAAAGAAATTGCAGAAAATAATCGATGAAATCTGCAATAAAATCGGGCGGCTACTGTCGTAGCCAGTCACAGAGAATTTATTCTGTTGTTAAATGAAATTCATTAATACGATAAATAGAAATCAAATCCATATTCCTTATTAACGACCAAGAAAAAAAAAATATCCGATTTGTTAATTTCTTCATTTATAATGGAATCAATTTCGAATTTTAAGAAACAATAAATATAAATAAAATATATTTTGTTCAATTTAAATTTCAAAATCAAAATCCATATAATAATCATAAATTATATATAAATATATTTAATTAATACATCTAAATATTAATTAATATATATATTCTTTCATATAAAATAAATATATATTAATTCCTTTTATATTATTTTTTTCAAAAATATATAAATCCAAATTATAAAATCCAATTATATAATTAATTAATATCTCCATTTTTGTTTAAATCTCCAAAAATACACTATTTTTTTAAAACATAATTAATTTAAAACAATATAAATATTAAAAAAATATATAATATATATATGATTAAATCAAATTAAAAACAACAAATAAATAAATAAAACATATAATTTCATTTAATATTATTATATATCTATTTTAATATTTTTCATAATTTAATTATCAATATAAAACCATATACGATTCCCGATCCTATAAATCTTTATTATGTATATATAATATATTTAATATTTAGTATATATATAGATAGATACCCATATTGTTTTTGTAAATTTATATAGACAATTGTTTGATATTGTTGTTTAATGTTATTTAGATATAATTCCATATAATTTCTATTGTAATTTTGTTTTACACATTGTTTGTTTGATAGGAATATTAAATCTGATTTCAGATTTGGTCGAGAACCGCCTTCAGCGGCCTCTTTGATTTGAAGATAACAAATTGCAATAGGGATTGTTTGACCTTTGGACAATCAGAACCTATCTTAGACCACCGGAACAGCTTGCGCGCTAGGCCGGGCACCTCCCGGATGTCGCGCCCGACCGACTGCTGAATGAATTCAGCTTCTTCGAGGTTGAAAGGTCAGGTATTGCATTGGTTTAGGCCGTGAAAGACTAGGCTTAATTACACACCACCTTACAATTCTGCTAGTGGGTGAAGGTTGTCGCAACCCAAACATGGTGGCTTCTCACAGGGTGTGCGCTGCTATCTTCACACCAAAGCCTGTGACAATGTGGACACCCAAATACCGTGCCCCTTCGGCAGCTCTGCAATGCTCTACAGGCAAATCCCTACTGCGCCAGACCTGGGCCTTTGACCTCTTCTTACAATTCTCAGCTTCTACTCAGCCCTCGCAGTGGCAGCCTTGCACGAGACTCGCTCTTTCACAGCATCGGATTCTGGGCATGGCGGCGACCGAAGGCGGTGAATGAACGGACCCTGGATGCTCCAAAAGTGCCAGCGGACCCTGTTGACCCCGCAGCTTGTTCTACGATTCTCGTGTTCTTTGCCTGTTTGTTGGTGAGATGAAAGAACATGAAGGTCAACGCGGCATCGGGTTTGCAATAGCAGGTAGC